TTAAATATTATTGAAAATATATAGTTTAAAATTAATAAAATAAAGTAGCTGTACCAAACTCGGTCTGTATTTATACTGTTCAAGTTCAATACAGTCTGAAATAAATTTAATTAGCTAACTGCGTCGCAATCTAAATTCATGTCACATTAAATTAACAAACTCGAACGAACATTGCTCAGGAAAGTTTTATAATATTTGGCTTAATTTATAGCTAATTTAATTCAAGAGCAGAATTAAAATTCTAGTACAAATATTGATGGCATTCATTTAATGCTTTCGTTTTCATATATGATTATTCAAAATTCCCTCAGACACGTGTTTCGTTCCAATACCAAGAACTTTCTCGGCCAAAAAACGAGTATCGTTCATACAACAACCCAGACAAAGGCATTGAGCGAGTGCTCTAATAAATTTGCAAATAAGTATCAAATTCACTTGATATTCACTTTTGATATTCATACGAAATCAGCTGAGAGATAAGCTCTGCAAGCTATTTGCCCATTTAATACAAAAATTTGCTGAGCTGAGCATAGAAATATGTTTGTGTAACAAATAAAATATGTGCAATCCCTATAGCTGAATGTAAACCTGCTAAGATATACGTGAAATCCGGTTGTCAAAGGTGCGATTATCAGCCGTGACAAATCAATTCTCTCTGAGTACGTCACTAATTAGTGATAAGCGTGTGCCATTAGCATGTTTTCATAAATATTGACAATAGAAATTAAGTTCTCAGCGATTAGAACATAATACACGTCCGAATTATTAGGAATAACGTGATCATTTCACAAATGCTAAAGATCTCTAATTAATATTATCGAAAATCAGAGCTTGTTCATCAAAAAACATGAAGAAAGATTTCAATAAAACTCATTTAGCTTAAATAGGTACTGATTTTTACATATGCATGTATTTCTTTATTATTTTGTTAGATTAAGTGTGTTAAATAGACAATATTAGGCTTGCTAGAGCAGTTACAATATTTGTTCATGGGCGTGAGGCCTGCTACAAACAAGTTGACTTAAACATTAGAGCACAACGGGGCAATGAGTAACCATTATCCCAGAATTTCCATTCGAAAACAATAACAATTTGTTATTTGCGTAGCGTTTTTAGCGTTTTCCAATAAATACAAATGTGTGTGTGTGTGTGTGTGTGTGTGTGTGTGTAACTATGAACTCTATGGTAAGGTAATTTCTTGGCTAAGTGTACTCGTCTACTCTAGATAATTTAATTGTAAAACCA